AAACACACTTTCACAACAGATTCATTCCAGCTTTTGAGAGCAGTCCATTTTGTGATGTGAGACAAACACACTTTCACATAAGTTCCTTCAAGATTTTTAGGGCAGTCCATTTTGTGATGTGAGACAAACACAATTTCACAACAGATTCATTCCAGCTTTTGAGGACAGTCCATTTTGTGATGTGAAATAAACACACTTTCGCAACAGATTCATTCCAGCTTTTGAGGACAGTCCATTTTGTGATGTGAGACAAACACACTTTCACATAAGATTCATTCCATATCTTTAGAAAGACAGTCCATTTTGTGATGCTTTGAGAGTTACGATGTGTTAGTGAAGTTTCATCTGTGTCTTATTCATCACTGGTGATGATTGTACGTTAACATTTACCAGGGTACTGTCCAACAATTTTTCATTTATCTACAGCCTCATTTGCAATAGTCTTATCACTATGATCAGCGGTTACTTCCAGTTTTTCTTCAATAAATATTTTGCTTACTTTTTTTTATCTTGAGTTCAACATGATGTCTTCTCTCATTTATTTCACCTGCAAAGAATTTCCACTCTTGTCCTTCTGAATACAAGATCCCCGACCCTTGTTTTTGTCTAGACCAAGTGACAATAAGCTAGGTTTACCTACTTTGAAATACCACAAACCAACACGGCAGAAACGATTTTTGGTCCAATCTTGATGTTTTCTATTTCTCATCTTATTATATTTATGGTCCTCAGGAATTGATGAAGTATGCAAGTCATGTACCCCCTACTTCTAGAATATCTCACTATAAAAACCATTCTTAATAACCTCAAAGTCTCAAGTCAACAAGAAAAAAAAGAAGATTTATTGCTTTTCGTTTAAACACATTTTATCACCCAGACTCTTCAAATTATAATAATCTAAGTACAGAGTAGACAAGAAAAGGTGTGAAACAGGTTTCTTATCCTGGTTAGAGAAGGCTTTCGAAATTTGCTTTATGCTTCAGTCAACTGTTAATATTCTTTCTTTGTATGCTTCTTCTTATAAACATAACAGTCAAATGCTTTGGTAACTAAAGTGTTTTTCTCCATATTTATTACAACAACTTCTTTATTAGCAAGCTCAGCTTATTGTCTTAGATCAACTTTACAGTACTGATATATCTGATGTTCTTAGATGCTTTAGCCTAACAGTATGACTGATTCATTCCAACTTATTAATTTTTTTCAAAATTTTTACACATTCATAAACTATTTATGTTCTGCTGTTGTAATTTATTGCATAATATGTTAGAACTTCTTAAGTCTATCAGAATTGGTGTTTTTTAATTAAAAATTTAATAAAAGCATAAGGTTTTGTCATTCAGTGTTAAAGTGTAAATTAGGCAGAATCTTGTAAATTCTTTAGTGTTAAATAATACAGTTTCACTGGCATCAAGGTGAACTTCAATGGATGAGTGGCCTGGTTGCATTGTATTTAGAGGTTAACATTTTTACTTCTTCATCAACTCTATACACAAATGATGTCATCTGAATACCATGTGTCCACTGGAACACTATCAACTAAAGCCATGTGTCCAGTGAAATGCTGTTACCTGAATACCATGTGTCCAGTGAAACACTATCAACTAAAGCCATGTGTCCAGTGAAATGCTGTTACCTGAATACCATGTGTCCAGTGAAACACTATCAACTAAAGCCATGTGTCCAGTGAAATGCTGTTACCTGAATACCATGTGTCCAGTGAAATGCTGTTACCTGAACACCATTGGTACAGTGAAACTCTGTTACCTGAATACGATGTGTCCAGTGAAACACTACCAACTAAAGCCATGTGTCCAGTGAAATGCTGTTACCTGAATACCGTCCATGTGTCCAGTGAAATGCTGTTACCTGAACACCATGTGTCCAGTGAAATGTTGTCACCTGAAAACCGTGTGTCCAGAGAAATGTTGTCACCTGAACACCATGTGTCCAGTAAAACACTATCAGCTAAAGCCATGTGTCCAGTGAAATGGTGTTACCTGAACACCATTGGTCCAGTAAAACTCTGTCACCTGAATACTATGTGTCCAGTGAAACACTATCAGTTAAAGCCATGTGTCCAGTGAAACACTACCAGCTAAAGCCATGTGTCTAGTGAAATGCTGTTACCTGAATACCATGTGTCCAGTGAAATGCTGTTAACTGAACACCATTGGTACAGTGAAACTCTGTCACCTGAATACGATGTGTCCAGTGAAACACTATCAGCTAAAGCCATGTGTGTTCAGGTAACAGCATTTCACTGGACCATGTGTCTAGTGAAACGTTGTCACCTGAAAACCGTGTGTCCAGAGAAATGTTGTCACCTGAACACCATGTGTCCAGTAAAATGTTGTCACCTGAACACCATGTGTCCAGTAAAATGTTGTCACCTGAACACCGTGTGCCCAGTTGCTTCATTTGTTTACTTTAGAACAATCTATCAGTAGTTTTTAATGCAAACAAGTTTTAAAACTAGAATATTCTTGTCGACAGAAACTTTTATATTTTAAGATGCTGCAAATTCAGGTACGGTTTAAGGAACTTGTTTCATGCAAAGTTTCTTTCATTAATAGCACTTTTGGTAGTGAGCAATATTATATGTTTTTTATGAATTAAATACACTATAGTGACTAGTACCGAATCATTAGTAAAATCTAGGTTGTGATAACATATGACTTTATAAGGCGAGTAGTAAACTGGGCTGATTTAATTAAGCTGTTATTTCAATATATTGATCAGCAAAGTTTGGTGACTGATAAATAATTTATAATACAATTTTACAACAAAACTAATGCAAAAAAAAAAGGAATGCAGTTTGTTGAATAGTTTAAATTGATATTATCAGTATTAAAAGTTGAATTAATGTTGAAATGGCTCATGTGACATGTATACATATTGTAGAAGAAACTATAAACATTCCTGGGAGATCAATAACCACAGGGTGAATTTCTCATATAAAATTTATTATATATACCATAAAATTTTGTGTAAAAATCTGATTTCCTAAATTCTCAATAAAAAAAAAGAGGTAATATAAAACTTTATGAAAATAAACAATTAAATGTAATAACATGTAACAATACAGAAAATGTTCAAAAACAAAAAAAAACACATGAAATATGACTAGGCTTAAGTCTACAAACATCTAGACCAAGATTTCTTAAATAATTTAAAATATGAGAAAACATGAATATTACATTTCCTTGAACTGGAAATTTCTCACAGATTGAAAAACAATTCTTGTAGATTTCAAATAACAGCATATTTGTTTTAGAATTTCCCTCCAAAGTTTGGGGAATGTTTAAAAAAATTGTTTTTCAATCTTTTGATGAAAATGAACATAGATTTAGTTATTTACCAAACAATTAATAATTAAGTAGTATCATTGACATTAAAATCAACCACATATTTAATGCAGCAAGAATAAACAGAAGCTTACTGAGATTAATCTATGTTCAGTAGTAAGCACGTGCCTTGCAATATCCAATGACTGATGTGTTCTGTTGAACGGATATCAGCTTCGAAGACTAGTCCTACTCCCATGGCATTTCGTCTGTCAGAAGTTGTATACACAGGTGTTCGGAAAGTGTTCTACAAAATAATGGTTAACAAAATGAAACTTCCATTTTTTGAAGATAATTTTACTTTTATTATACATCAAAAATTAGGGGGGCGGGTTAAGTAATTCAAGTTTGAAAAAATTATGAAATCGAAATTCAGATATCTTATGATTTTCCAATATAGCATAGAAGAATACTTTTACATATCTAGTAATTTTTTTTTAAATCGGAGGGGAGGGGGGGGGGGTACAAGTGACCCCTTTGCCCCTTCCTGCGGCCGCCCATGACATCATGCATAATTAACTAGAAACAACCAGATATTTTACTGTTCTCTACAAAATAAAAAATCGACTCCCAAATACTTCCATATTACGATCATTAAATAAAACTTATTATCCGTAAACTAAAATTGTGATAAATAAAATTATTGTTGGAAACTTTAAGCTGACAAGGTATGAAAGTTCTTTAACCCAAATAAATGTGAGAGAAAAGACAAAAAAGCTTTAATTCTTATGTACATACTTTTTTTAAACAGGGTCATGCTATTGCACGAGGGCTAAAGTTTACAAGTTCGACATTGTAAGTAAACAGTTCTGTTACGCCCTCTCTTGGGAATATTGCTAACTACATACCTTCATAACCTAATTGGTTTTATCCCACATGGAATAAAAGTATGAAGTAAATACATTTTACACAAAAATTTACCCCTTACCCCATTTTAAACAGTGCATAATGAGTCAATGTTTATAAATCTAAAAAAATAATATATAATGAATTCATGATTCTCAGCTTCTTTTATTTTCTCAACTTACTTTTTTATTTTTAAATCAAAAATTTGATTATTTTAACATGGGGATCCCTAGTCAGCAAGAGGGAGGGGGGCTATATTTTCATAACTTAGTAACGTTGGATGTTTGAATCAACTTGGCAATAAATTGAAATTAACCCTTGGGTTACTACTAGCTGAACTATACAAAGAATCTTGCTTGTAAACACTGTATTTATAGTTTTTTATTTACCTATTCCAAAGTATAGGTTTAAACTACATATAACAAAGTATCATCCCTTGAACATAAAGTTATCCATGTCTTACTTCTCATGTGACTTCCATCTCTTTCACTGGTTTTTACTGTTAAAACTAAAATCAGTTTTAACTTTATAATATTCTGTCTATGTCTGCTTTTTAAGATTACTGCTCTAAAATGCAATAAACTCAACTATTAATACATAGAATAGTTGTTGCCCTGTTTAAAAGTTGTAGTATCGTAGTGATGGTATTAAGGGTAAGAATGGGGGGTAGGACCCCCGAATCAAGGTTCACATGGGGTGAACATGGAACAAACTCCAGCATTTGTATTGATAAACCAAGGTTTACATTGGAATACATTCTAATAGTAGATGCATAATTCATCTACTCAAAACATCTACTATTTGTAGCTCATAACTTAAATCAGCTCTGCTTAATTTACAGTGACCCAGTGTTTTGATATTTATTTCAAAACAATAACAAAAAAATATCAAATAATTTACAATTTTCTGTATGCTTAGTAAACATCTTTTCCCTATACCAAATAAAAATTAAATTTAAACGTCTTTTTCTCTTAACAGCTGGTGTGAATAACTAACCCCCTCATCCCCCAGACCCTCTTGCATGCACAATTAGTCTAGTAAAGTGTTCTTAAATTAGGCTCTGTATGTCAGCAAGTGCATATATCTTAGGTTTACAATAGCTTTTCGTAGTCTATCTGGTTGTCAGTTTTAGCTGTCCACATTATTATGCTTCAAAAGAACCTGAACATTACTCCATGGAATGCCTACTTGAAGTTTAAGGCGATGGGTCTCCACTGGAATTATTTTGAGCACAGGAAGAGGTTGAACTAGTTCTCTAGGTTTAGCAGAAACTAAACAACCTTGTTCCAAGTCCCAACCAGCACCCTCCAGGTACAGTCCACAGACGTAACAGCCTAAACGAAGGAACAGCAATGACAGATAATGTTCAGTAAAGTGAAGATTCTTAATTACTTTAAGATGAAATCAAGGTTGCATAATGAACAAATACTCTGTTCACAGATTTAACAACCTAAACTAGAGAACAAAAATGACCTTAAAAACAAACAAAAGGATTATTTATTTCATATTTGACAGCAAAAATAAGGAGTATATAATTATTATTATTTTCAAAAGAGGAAAACTAGTGTATTTTCGAAAACATGATAAAACAATACTGCTCAAACAGAATTAAGTAAAACATTTTATTGATTGTGAAAAGACAAATATTAAGACAAGATGTAACATAAATACGAAATATTTTTCAGTTTAAAACTTCTCTTTTCTTTTATAAAAACATAATTAATTAATAGTGAAAACATAGATACTGTATTCAAATTCGGTGACGAGGAACCCACTTTGAGACAAATAATGGCTGGAGACGGCTTGAATGGGTAATGAAGAAAAACTTTAATATAAGTTTAACATAACAGCAAATGTACAATGTTTTGACAAGGTTTTGTCATCATCAGGTACTCGTTGAGTGTCGGATCAGATCTGTTGATTACAAGGTTAGGCTGAGCTGCATTGTTGTGTTTCACTTCACGTTGTTGTAGTTTCCTGAGTTGATCTAGCTTCTTCTTGTGTATTGACTTCTTTTCTTGATTCAACAATGAGTTGTTTTGGTTGATAGCGCGTTGTATATTGCTGTAATCATCTGGTTTGAGGTAGCAGGCTAGTTGGTGGTCTAATTTCTGTTTGAGTATTTGTAAGTAGTCCAGTTCTTGATATTTGGAATTCAGGGTTGCTTTTAGGAGTTTTTTCTGATGATGACAAAACCTTGTACATTTGCTGTTATGTTAAACTTATATTAAAGTTTTTCTTCATTACCCATTCAAGCCGTCTTCAGCCATTAATAGATACTGTATAATATGAGTATTTCACTTAAATACATCTCAGGAAATGTGATATTAACCCACCAATTGGAGGTCTATCAGTAACATCACTTTCCGTTTGGAATGAGGTGACCGAGGAATAGAGAGTGGAGCGATCAAGAGGCCATCCATTCTTCCGACAAGCTGCCTGGACCAGAGCAGTCAGGTAGGACTCTGGAATGTGTAATCCTGATAACCACATAACCTGTGGCTCCCCTTTCTTCACCTGGATGTAATGGCTTGTATGTTATTTGTTATACTGTCTTACACACAGACTGCATAAATACTAATGCTACTACTTAAGTCAGGTTCAGATTAGTGAACATACCACTTTTGATGTTCTGGGGGTTTCTGATGAATTTTGGTAATAAATAAAGTAAAAACAGCTAAAAATGTGATACAAAAGATTAGTTAAAATACATCAATGTTTCACTATCATTAACCCAGTATTATTAAGAAAAGACAATTATAATAACAACAGTATATGTTATGGCTGATACGATACAATACATATCTAGATATTGATGCCGTGACACGAAACATATCTGGATACAGAAGTTTTACCAAGGTTTTTTTACAAAGTTTGACAGTCTTGTCTGTAATTTATTATTTATATTACTAACATTGTGTTATTTAAGTACTTCACACTTTACAGTGTTTTTCAAAGGGCAATAAAACAATAACATCTAATTAGAAACAGACGTATAATGTTAAGAAATTTAAGTTATTTAATGTAAGCAAATGTACAATTTGAAGTAATTCCAGAAAGAGAATAAAAAAAAAGATAATTTTGATTTATTTTGTATTTTTATGGTTGTTACGAGGTTGGTCATACTGACCAACTTCACATAAAATTAGGGTAGTATATATATATATATATATATATATAGAGAGAGAGAGAGAGAGAATTGAAATGGATAGCACTGTTAAAATGCAATAAACTATAAAATATAACATCAAGATATTTATTTTGTTGTCTTCTTAGTACAAAGCTACACAAGGGGCTATCAGCACTGTGTTCATCACTGGAAGTCAAATTCCAGATTTATCACTGTCAGCCCATAAACTTACTGCTGACCCACCAGGTGATTGACAGAGAGCTTATGTTGTTTAATTAGAAAGATGATATATAGTCTTCGCATTATTTGTCATAATATTACATTTTATAATATTGTGATGCTCAAATATATTGTGCCATTTGGGTTAGTATACAGATATTTGTAAAAGAGCAAAAATAAGTTTTCTATTTGGTTTGGAAATGAACCTAACAGATTGATTTAAGTTACAGATTTTGGAAATGTCAAAAGAAAAACTTGAGTTATGTGTGGTATGCTTCAATAAATAATTTTATTTGCATATTGTTGTTTTTTTGTAGGATAATTTAGGATGTTAAAATTGTATAATAGTTTGCTCTATTAACTTCATCTGTGAATAAGAGACATCAGTGATAAATCAAGAATGCAGATATCAAACTTCATTTTGCAACTATACTTTACAGCTATGTACGAGAAAAACTCGGCCTTCAATGCTGCCAGTAAATTCATGATCCTCAGTTTTTGAAAGCCCATGTTATAGAATGTGTAAATGTATATGCAGTAATAATGGAAATCTGTGTTTTTGTTCTATGAATGACAACTTCTCAAGAGACTTTAGTAAATCAAACTATTACACAGTTTTTTTTTCTTAATAAATTAACATGTAAAAATAACTAAAATAAAATAACATATCATGCATATGTACCCCTTATTTCTTTAGCTCTGAAATGAACTTGGCTTAACATTTCCAAAATCTATAATTTAAATCAACCCGTTAGATTGATTTTCAAATCACGTAAAAAACTTTCATCTATATTTTCTAGAAATATCTATAGATTAACCCAAATGGCACAATGCATAGGACGAACTGTCAAGATTGTTCTGATTTTAACACAGAAGAAACTGGAAGTATAGAAACTCCATGAAAGAAACACCTTCAACCTCATTCACATATTTTTTGAACATCACAGACAAATAATGTTCAAATTATTCATTATAAAACAAAAGCAGTTAACAAAATTAAAGAAGCCCTTTTAATCAATGTAAACCCTCTTTCAGTAAACATCCCGGTATTACACTTTATACTTCTCAATAAGTCTATAAATATCCTTTTATTTCCCATTTTGTGCTGTTTTGTATGTTATATATATATATATATAACATACAGTTAACATATAATTAGTCTTCCAAACTCACTGCCAGCTTTAAACACAAGAAAAATCAATTAGTTGAGGCCTCCTTTAGCTTGATAACTGTTTTTTAAGACTCATAATGTAGGTAAATTTATATGTAAAATTATACACTGACTTTTCTCTACGTTAAAATACTTTTCTTTTATTAACGAGCTTTCGGCCCTATAGTACACTGTTACCCAGTGAAGGCTCTGGTAAGAGGGCCGAAATCTCACAAGTAAAAGAAAAGTACTTTATTGTAGAGAAAAGTCAGTGTATAATTCTACACACATGAGGCCACCATTGATTGCACAATTCTAAACAAACAAATAAAAGTTTATGTTGCTATCACATTTGTTTAATCCCTTATAAATAATACGTACTTAATTTGGGACTTAAGTTTTGGAAATAACTTTTTTGGAGGAAGTTCATATAAGCCCTTAGTAGACTGTGTGACCATTATCACCCTGCTGTTTTGGGTCTTATGGATATCATACCCAACAGTTCTACTTGGATCAGACCTATCTTACACATTTACCAGTTTATATGGAACTTTGATTTATTATACACTCCAGTATAAATTATAAAAATATTGTATCATCTTCGTAATTAAGAATATCTAATACTGATTATAATTCTTCTGTAGCAACTCTTTGAAATAGAAGCTATTACATAATTGTCTGTAAGGCAATTTAATTTACATTTGATTTAATGTAATGTAATGTAATTTAATTGTCTGTTAAATGAGACAAATGTGTTCATGTTGTTTCCTTACAGTTGACAGCAGAAAAAGTGGTATTATTTTGAACAGTCTCTTCTTACATCATTGAAAAGTATGTTTAAAATTACCCACAAATGTACATAAAAATATAAAGTTTTTTAGACTAAATTTTTCAGTAACAAACAAAAAAAAGAAGAAAAAAACAACAACTAATGTTTGTCCAGGGATTTGGTTCAACTGTGGAAAGAAACACCCAGACTCCATCAACAAGGACATTAATATGTATAAATTACTACATGAAATATTGATATTATGTAAATTAGTTTATATCAGTTCTTACAAATATACTAACTAATATGTTATATGCATAATGAATTACTTGAACTTTAGGCTTTAGACAGTTTCTAAGATCTTGAAGGAAACCTTACCCAGACTTTAAACTGGTTGTACCTTCGATGAAAGTGAGTCATCCAATTTCCCAGGCTCTTACGAGTCAGTGGAGCAAGATGACGCCAGCTTTCTGGTAACTGACCATTGAACAGTGAACGAGAAACATCTTCCAGTTCTGGGTCCATTCCCACTTCTCCAGCTAGTGCCTGTAGAGAACAAACTGAAACTTTAAAACCTCCACAATCATCAAGCACTACCAACGTTTGTTATTTTTTACCAAAGAATTTACTAAATTTAATATGGAACTTGAAACATATATCCACTTTTACTTTTTTCTAATTTAATTTTATGTTTATTATTTTATTATAATGATTATTCTATGCTGTAGGCTTAGTATATGGATTTAGGACTAACCCAAGCCTCCTGAGCTGGCTGAACCTTGTGAAATATGATTAGGTTTATGGTAAAAAATCTTGTTAACAGTGAGGGTACCCAAATGACGAAACAATACATTCTAACCATTATTAGTACTATAGTTTGAACTTTATACTTAATTAGCTATGCTCATTACTAGATTTATACTTTTAATTATGATCTATGTACATAGTTTGCTTTGATCAGAAGTTAATATTAATCACATTATGGATTTATTAGAAACTTTGCAAACGCATTGAGTGAATTAAAATGTGTATGAAATAAAAACACAATTTGAATGGTTATATCAAGGACATGGTTGAAATAAGACCACATTTTGAATGGTTATATCAAGGACGTGGTTGAAATAAGACCACATTTTGAATGGTTATATCAAGGACGTGGTTGAAATAAGACCACATTTTTAGGATCTTTTTTTTTGTGAGTGGTTATTTAAATTTCTTAGAAATGTTACAGATAAGTTGATGAATGAATAAAATATGAACATTAGGTATTTTTGATAATGCTACTCTTGACAAAAGATTTCTTTAGTAATCTCTCTATGGTGCCATTAAAGTAGCATTTATTTAAGTCACCTGGATGCTGTGTAAAAGCTTCAGTTTAGTTACAGTCATATATATGTCTTTGGACATCCTAGATGTAACCAGTAAAAATGTGGTCTTATTTCAAACACATCCTAGATGTAGTTAGTCAATATGTGGTCTTATTTCAAACACATCCTAGATGTAGATAGTCAATATGTGGTCTTATTTTAAACACATCCTAGATGTAACCAGTAAAAATGTGGTCTTATTTCAACCATGTCCTTGATATAACCATTCCATAATATTCTTCACATATCCTGATAGTATAAAGAAAGAGAAACAATTACAAGTATATTGTCATTAAGAGCTAATTCTTTATAATAGGTAGTATCTACTTATCTACTAGCAATTGTTGAATTTTTCTAATACACAGTGAAACACATACTGACCTTCTGCAATGTTGCTAAATTTGTGTGCATTCTGTTCAGCAAAATGTTGAAACGCTCCAGCTCTTGCATAAGTACTACAGTTGTTGGATTACGGACAGTGCCGATTGACTTGCGTATGGTATCAAGGTCAAAGAGTGAAGGTAGTTTTTCTAATATGTCAGATGCAATTTTGCTAATAATCTCTTCACGGCTATCACCGCTACCAGTGCCACCTGTATTGAAAGTGGGTAGTTATACTTGCATCTGATTTGATCTCTAATCACAACTATACAACAGTTAAAAAAGCAACGATTCAATAAGTTAATTTCTCACGATAATATGTGGTGTTTTTCTAATTTTCAGTTACAGTTAAGCTCTTTTTAACCATTACCTTCAAATGTTTGTGTGATACCACTAACACTGATTGATTGAACAGTTGTTGTTTGTGGAATTTTGCACAAAGCTACTCAAGGGCTATATTTTGAAGTGGTAGATTAGAGGGAAGGCAGCTAGTCAATACCATCACTATAAATTTGTAAGCTACTCTAACTAAATAATTGGATCTGACCATCATTGTTATAATACACCCATGACCTCAAAGTGCAGAGTGAGATGGGAAGGCAACCAGTCAATACCATCACCATAAACTACTTTAATTGACTTTGACCATTGCTCTTATAATGCACACATGATCCTAAAGTGCAGAGTTAGGTTTTTTGGGAGACAGTAATGAACAAACCTCAGATTCAGTTAGTATTCTAACCACTGGGCTATGATTGGTTCTAATTTAGTGCCTTCTTTCTAAGGTACTACAAGAAAATAAGTTGGTACAGTGTGTTTCTACAAATTTTAGTTTTAACATAAGTAAAAAAATATATATATGATATTTCTCTTCAGTTAATGAAACTTGAATATGGAACTTATTAAAATCACTCTATTGTCTACTATTACATTAAAACACAAATATTTTGTACAAGAAGGAAACAAATTATCTAAGAATGCCGCTTCATATATATAAACAAACCTGTATACGTGTACTTTCAGAATTTTCTAAACACTCTGAACCATGAACTATAAAACACAAACAGTGTGCTAAGTATTCAATTAAAATAAAACAAATTTAAACTAATGAAAATAAATGTTTTCACTGCCAAAAGCACACGTATATCCATCTTTAGAGCATTGCCATGTGAGTTTGGAATTCTGTATTATCATGAAGAAAGGGTGTTCCCCCTTCAAATTTCCCAGAGTTTACCAGTTTCAAGTTTGTGATAAGTAATGAAACGTAAAACACGTCTTTTTGTTTTTGTTACATATATAAAAGTAAATCTGGCACTAGGAGAGTTGTTTACTTATAAACATAACAGTTAAAGAGTTAAGATTCTAAAGCTCACTTTGTTGTTAGAGACCATGCTCACATAAATACACAATTGCTAAATGGAGTATGTTATCAAGAGTTTTTAAAGTTACCCATCTGAGGCTGAAGCTCCACTAGATGGACCCACATGTCCTTTGATGCTTGAGTATAGTAGCCAATCTCAGCATTTGAATGAAGACCACAGACTTCTGGACTGCTGGCCAGAGGAAGACTTTCTATAACATCTAAATAATTCAAAAAGTAAAAACATTCTGTTTTTCAGTAATAATTTATATATATTGTACTGAAATATTAACTACAATGACTTATACGTTAATGTTCACTTTTATTTCTGCTTTTATATTAACATAATATAAATATGACCCACTGTGTTCCATATCAATATCTGGATACACATTTACGGAGCCAAATGGTGCACAAGAAATTTGGCAAACACCAAGAACAAGAAAGAGTGAAATAATAAGTATACAAACATGGTGGCACATAATAATGTTAAATATGTATATTAGACATAGAAGATGTCTAGTACAACTCTCACTAACAAGTATCATCTAGAACTAACTTAATGAAATAAACAGATAGTACAGCATCCTCTGATTTAGGTTAACCATTCATAAATTATAGGGGTAAAACTTATTCTTATGGTTCAGTTAATGTTATATTTCTAAGTTTAAAGGTCTCAAATATTTAAGTCAGAAATTTTAAATAAAAATATGGTATCTTCACAGTTTACTAATATTTATTTATTTATGAATTGACCAATGATAACATTTTCTAGCAGTTTACCAACTCACAAAAGAGGCTCACACCTAAATAAAAATAACTTTTAAATCTATTCAAGAGACTTGCTTTTAACCCATTAATTATCAAAATAAATTAAAGCTGTTTCAAAACCATTTTTATCACAGGTTACAGAGTTGAAACAGTAGGTATGAAGATTTTAATGATCTGTAACTGTCTGTTGAAAGAAGAGATGTTGTTTCATTTTCTTTCAACAGGAAGTTGCTGTCCATTAAAGTTGTTTGTTTGTTATGAATTTCGCGCAAAGCAACACAAAGGCTATCTGCGCTAGCTGTCCCTAATTTAGCAGTGTAAGACTAGAGGGAAGGCAGCTAGTCATCACCACCCAATTACAACTTTTGGGCTACTCTTTTACTAACAAATAGTGGGATTGACCGTCACATTATAATGCCCTCACGGCTCAAATGGCGAGCATGTTTGATGTGATGGGGATTCAAACCCGTGACCCGCAGATTATGAGTCAAGCACCCTAACCACCTGGCCATCCATTAAAGTCCTCAAACCAACTTACCATGGGCCTCGTATTTTTCATATTCAAAAAGCTGAGTAAAAAAAACAGTAAAAGCTATATATGGAAATATTTCATTAAATCTAAAAGACCAATACCTGAACTAAAATTATCAACTGAAATAAAATGATTAAAAAATTGTAATAAGGATGGGTGATAAAAGAATTAAAAAAAATAAAACTTGGATAAATAATGAGATAAATTAAAATGAAACTTTGGTAAATAATGAGTTAAACTCACTCAGATAGCTAGTTTTACTGCCTGAAGGTGGTATATTGTAGACCAAACGGTCACTCTGGTAGAAGGAGAAAGGTTGGAAAGTGTCAAAGATGAAGTCTCCCATGTACTCATCCATGTAGGTGTTGACAACTCTTCTGTCAAAGTCATCAATCACTCGGCCGCCATACATTACCTGCAGAAATAAGTAATTTTAACATTCCACCCGTAAGCAGATTCAAGAAATGTTTTATTTGAAACTTAAAGACAATGTAAACACATTAAAAGTCTTTGTTCAAACACGCATATCTGTTATCATAAGAATAAAGAACGAATCATATTTTCTACCATACTTTTTACAAATCATAATTAACAAAAAACATAATAATAGTGAAAATGTACATGTTGCCAATAAATTAACTTTAACCTCACATCTTTATTAATTCATTTTTACATTGAAGTATGAAATATCTAAAATTATTAAATGAATTTGTTTTATACAATACGGGAAAGTTGATCAATGTTGATATGGCAATTCTTGCTTCTTAAAATTTATTTAATATTCCTTTTCATATATGACTGTGTATTTCTCATTTAATTCTAGTCTAACAAGTATTTTTTGCATACCATAAACAAGAACACACAGAATATTTCTTATGGTCACTTCAGCTATGGCCCATCTCAACTATATAAAATAGTGTTAACAGTCTTTGTATATTATAAATGTCACTTGTGCAAAAACACAAACTTGGTAATAACTGAAAAAACAACAACTTGTCTTTTTAAGCCTCCCAGTGGCACAGCGGTATGTCTGCGGACTTACAACGCTAGAAACCAGGTTTCGATACCCGTGTTTGTCAGAGCACAGATAGCCCATTGTGTAGATTTGTGCATAATTACAAACAAACTTGTCTTTTTAATATATTTTTTAAAGTTTGATTTTTATCACAATAATAACAAAATTTGAAAAATTACTTTTTTTTTCGGGGGGGGGGGAGTAGGTACTAAATTTATTACATTTTAGGACATTACACACCAAAATAACTGACAGCCCCTTTTAACAAATTCTCAGATAACAGTCGTTTTAAGGTTAAATAATTTTAAACTCACCTCGCCAATCAGATATTTTAGTGATTTCCATGGAATGTGGACATCATTATTAAAATGTGACTTGGTCAGATATGTGTCCAAAATCTGCATACAAACACTAAAATCTGACTCATTGAAGTCATAACTGATATTCCAACCCAGCTTGCCATACTTTCTGCGTTCCAACACCACAGCATGAAAAAAAGCTAAGACGTACACAAGAGAACTGAAGGCTGGATGTGGACAGGAAGTAAAAGAATTAATGCTGATCTTTTGGAAGGTGTTGCAAAGGTTCAGTTTCAGGTCATTAGGAGGTTCAGTTACAACCTACCAAAAGAGGTGAAATTGTGTTAACACATCTCAAAAGTTAAGTAATATTTTCAATAGTCAATTACAACAACATTGAACTTTTTCTGAAAAACTGAATCTAAAGTATATCTACAATAAAACTACCATGTCTTTTAATACTTGCTTTAAATCACCGACATCAAAAGTAAGTATCATCACTTTGTTTTTTACTCTGAAGACCACCATATCTACAGTAAAACTACCATGTCTTTTAATACATGCTTTAAACCAGTGACATCAAAAGTAAGTATCATCATTTTGTTTTTTACTCTGTAGACCACCATATCTACAGTAAAACTACCATGTCTTTTAATACATGCTTTAAACCACCGACATCAAAAGTAAGTATCATCATTTTGTTTTTTACTCTGTAGACCACCATATCTACAGTAAAACTACCATGTCTTTTAATACATGCTTTAAACCACCGACATCAAAAGTAAGTATTTATCACCTTGTTTCACTTCTGTAGACCACCAATCTACAGTAAAACTACCACATCTTTTAATACATGTTTTAAACCAGTGACATTAAAAGTAAGTATTATCACCTTATTTTTACTCTGTAGACCACCATATCTACAATAAAACTACCATGTCTTTTAATATGTGCTTTAAACCAGTGACATCAAAAGTAAGTATAATTACCTTGTTTTTGATATTATGTAGTAAATTGATACAATCAGTCAAATCATCTTTAACTTCATAATGCAACAGTAGCGGTAGGAAATACAACAGCCAACAAGCATTTTAATTACCTCAATACAAACAAGAACAGTTTCTAGCATAGTTTAAATTATGTAGTCAATACACTTTGTTATTATATGTATTGAAATTTTTGTAGCATATTATTACTTCCGTTATTGGCACTGTTTGAAGAAGATGGAGTCAATTCATAAAAGAAGTAAAACAATCACAAAAAATAAGGACTAGATACATTCCTTAATTTTTTGTGATTGTTCTGATATGATTTCCTGATAGTACTGATAACTTTGATACTAGATACACTATCAAAGTTATCAGTATTATTTGAATAAGCATTCCATGCATGCTAATTTTTCAGTACCTTAAGGGAACCTTGGAGTATGCCAACAGGAAAATTAGGTATAGGATCAGTAGTCATCCAGAGTCTAAAGTCTGGGTGGGGTTTGGTCATTCCCTCTAATTTCTTCTCTAAATCCTTTAACCACTGGACTAACAAATGGCAATTCTGCAGCATCAGCCACTGACCTCGGATAACTGCAGTGTCAAGAAGTTGAAAAGCTGCCTAGATTGGAATAAAAATGTTTTAAACACACAACATTACGTAAATACTCTTTAGTCTTCACTATAATGCATAGGTCCACTATTAATGAGCAAGTAGAGAAGCTTATCCAGCAAAAGATATGGTGACACAAAGTTCTGTTTTATCATTGTTATTCTCATATTTATTTAGTAAATACTTATATTTAATTTTCTTACAATAAACAAGACGTTTTTAATATTCAAAAACAAATCTTTGGTATTCACTAAAGCATAGTTCTAAAAACCACTTAAATGCACATGTCTGAGATATTAAGCTTATTTGATACAACACAATTCATGTTCTGGGCCATCACTGTTATAAAACTTAGCTTCAAGATTAGTCCTAATGTTTTGTATTTAGTCAGTATAATTTAGACTTCCATATCAAAGTAAAAGTAAATCATATGGTACCATGGCATATTTCTCTAAGATGTACTCTAGTATTTTACAATTAAATATAGTAAGTACAGTAAGAATTGATTGGAGCATCATTTGGGTAAGTTAGTATAAAAACTGTGCAAATATCTTATATATATATATATATATATAAATTTTAGTTCAGTTATATTTTTCTTGATGAAGTGAGAATTGTCTTCCACAATAATAAATTTTTAAACAACTTAATTCCCATAAAAAAAAAGGAGCAAAAATACCATTCTTTCTAATATAGACCAGAAAAAGCTTAAAATAATGCTGAACTAGACCTTTCTTACTGATAAATGAAAATAGGAAAATTATCTTTGAGCACAGTTACATGCTAAATACATAAGTCTTGTGATAAACTGTGAATCTAATGCCAAAATACTGCAATATTTAGTTCTTAGTTCAGATGACCTTAAAAATTAAAGTGTTTTACAGTAAGGTCTTTACGTATCTTACATATAAGAAGTATTCATATCTAATACATATTCTACACGTTTTAATACAATTCTTTATATATATATTGACAACTATAGGCTACAAAAATAAATGTATTTTAATTCTTCGATATTTCATGGATATATCTTAAATTCAAAACACAAAAAAAGTGCAACCTATAAAACACTATTTAAGAACCTTTTCTTGCCCTTGTCCAAGAGAGAGAAACTTTAAACGATTGCTTCCAAGTCCGGACCTCTCGGCCAACTTGGTGAGATTAGATGCAGGGTCCGCTCCAGGACTGAGAATGAAAACGACAGGAGATGTGGGAGAACTCTGTTCCAAGATAACTTCAAAACTTATAATTGGAGGGGTGACATAGCGTTCTCCTAGTTCTGACTCCACATAATTCATCACACCACAATAAACACGATCAACTCGAAAGCATCGTAGAAGCATGAGTCTTTGGAAGCTGGACAAAGTTTCTTCATATTGAAGAGGAAATCTCATTCTTTCAGAGTGATCTGATTCAAACCACTAAAAAAAAAAGCATGTTTAGACACCTCTGATGTATTTAAAGTAAAGAAAAAGCTACAAAATATATTATCTACCCAATTTTTAAAAATCTACCCCAAAGCAGTTAATATCACATAATTGATACCAATATACACATGGCACAGACAGATGTTTCATCAGATATACACAGGTTACAATTGAAATGTCTGTTTTTTGGGCTTGCTTCTTCTTCTGACAAGTGCAAGGAGGTAACTAATTTTCTTGATTAAGGGAGTAAACTTTAGCAACTTAATTTGAAATTTTAGCTTCAGAGAGTTAGTTAGTTGGTTTATTTGGTTTTAGCTCAAAGCCAAACAATGGTCTGTCTGAGCTCTTTCCATCATAGGGTATCGAACCCAGATTTTAGCACTGGAAGTCTGTAAAAATATCACTGACCATCAGGGGACAGCTTTAGAGGGAGTTTTAAAGAAGTGAGGGATTAATCAACAGTGATATTCATTAAGCCATGATGGCGTAAAATGAATACTGTCCATAACTTTTCTACAACTGAATGTTTATGACATTTACATGTACAGTATTGGAATAGATTGAAAAAAAGGTAATGTTTCTTTGTGTAATTGATATAACACACTATTTTTTGTATAGTTTATATAATAGTGACAATATAAGATTGATATAACACATTATTGTTTGTATAATCTATATAATAATGGTAACATAAGATTGATATAACATCCTACTGTTTGTATAGTCTATATAATAATGGTAACATAAGTTGATATAACACTATTGTTTGTAGTCTATATAATAATGCCAATATAAGATTGATATAACACATTATTGTTTGTATAGTCTATATAATAATGACAATATAAGTTTTTCAATAAAAAAAATTATTGATAGACTTAAACATACTTATCATTTGATGATCATTATAGGATTTTTCCCGACATTTCACTACTAAACACAATTTACACAAATACTTGAAACAAACCTGCTTCCACTCCACTTCATTTTTCTCTATATCAGAAATCAGAGAGTCAAAAGTCTCGGGAAAGTCAGAGGAAAGCCTAAGAATATCTTCCCAGCCTTGTTCGGGAAGCCAAGAATATGGACGTGAATGAGATGATCGTTCTAGAGCAAGACTTCCCTTAAGAAAAAAATTGAGCTCTTCATCAGAAATTGTTCCTTCATTCTGAGCCAGCCTTACAGCCATTTGAAAAGAAAATAGCAGTTTGTGTCTTTCAAATATTCCTGTAGGAGAACATATAATTCATGAGATATTAGAGAAAATATTCATCATTCTTGGTGTACAAACTTTCTTTTCTATTTATGCTCACCTTCATTATCTAAATTTACATTCTGTAACTACCTTTAGCTCATTTACTTTTAATATGAATGGCTCACAAACAAATATGGATGTGTAAAACTTAAATCAGAGACAGACTGGCCATTGTGCCATGGCACATGGGCCCTCTTGGGCAACCATTATGTGCCCCCTCAAGAAAAAATCTTAGAAAGAATGCTGGTACTACCCTGATTTTAAATTTAAAGACATTTATAAACCTGGTAAGAAATACATGGGTCATACACAATTGTCATAGCTGGTGGGATGGTATGGGCCCCAACTCATAATGAAATGGCACAGCCTCTAAAATGGGCCCAGTCCACCTTTGACTTAAATACTGTAAGAGTTTCAGTGTATATATATATATACATATATATAAATGCTTTTAATAATTACCGTAGCAATAAACACAGTACAATAATGTTTTTCTAAAAAACAATATTAAAAACTGGAAAAAAAGTTTTGGGGAACTTGTGCTTGCTGGTTTTTTGTACAGTTATAAATGAAGCATGCATGACTAATAACATTTGTGCTATTTATCAAAATAAATATCCTATACATTTTATGTACAAAACATTGTAATTACATATCTTTCATCTCACATCTATGTGTACACAATATTTTGAATTCATCTTTTCCTTTTTGGTAGAAGGAACAAATTAGTGTTTAATTTCTAAATTACTTCATACTGTGAATAAATAAAACATAAGCAAACCTGTACAGCCATAATTGTACACATTATCAGTAAGTGTGAGCTCAATATTCTTCAGTCGTTTGTCAAGGTTAGCATCAGGCATGGACTTCTCCAGAGATATCTTGAACACTTCTAAATATGAAGACAGAGAATATTGATACATTGTATTCACTGCTTCCATGTCTGCCAAAACAAAGAACAAAACTGCTCCACGTTTAGCTGCTGGACGATATCCATCTCTCAGTCTATTGATGTCAGCTGTTGTCTGGGCAGCCAGGGCCAATTTCTCAGAAACCTGAACAAAAAAAAAGTAAAAATTACTTCAAGGTGTAACAGATAACAAAACTGCTTTCCATCTAGCTGCTGGATGATATCCATATCTCAGTTTGTTAATGTCAGCTGTTGTCTGGGCAGCTAGGACCAGAAAACAAGTGTATTTTACAGAAAAAACAAACACTGTATCCATAAAGGATAAGAAATATGCCAAGTGATAGTACTTATGACTTAACACATTTTAAAATAAAGGTAGAGAGAGGTTCTGTCAGATTAATCAGTGTAAACTACATTGAAAGTATTATTCAATCCATGTTTTAAATAATGAATAGAGGTAATAAGTAACAAACACTCACACATTTGGTCAATTTTCACTGGCTTTGGTTCCTATGTAAGTTAAATCACGGTAAGGTAGAAATTTAATTAGTATCCATCATAGTTTTTATTTTGAGTTCTAAACACAACAGTAACAAAAAATAAAAATAAGCACTTTAAACAAATATTTACAGTACTGTGTTTAGAAAATTTTAAATGACAATTAAAACATATGGACTTACTTCAGTGGCTTTAGTTTTCGTTTCTTCTAGGGTTACTACCAACTCTTCGTTGTCCAAAATGTTTCCTGAAGAGGTAGCAAGCTCACGAAGGAGAGAGTCTTCTAGCTCCTTCAAGAGTCGTTTGTTAGCACTGGTCTCTTGAATAAGACTTTCTCTTTGCTCCTCCAATTCTTTACGTTCAAACTGAACTATCACACTTAACAACTGGTCCTCTAGGCCCTGAAATAAATCAGACAAGACATAATATTAACTGTATTCAAGCATAATAATCATTTTGTTGTCTTTCTAGGCTCCATATTCAAAAACAAAATTGTGAAGACTGGTTTCAAAACCAACTGTCACATAAAAAAACTGGTTCCATAAGCCCTAAGTTCAAAGGTTTCTAGTTTACATACCAAATTCTGTATCATTTTAAAATAGTTTAAACAGAAAACAAATATCACTTACAATAATATCTTGTATTGCTTCTAGCATTCTGAACTATGCTATAATTTATTACATGTAATTAAACTGGAACAAAATACTTTGTGTCAGGGTCAAATAATGATAGGTTCAAGAATTTAGAGTACTTTTTTCTATAGCAAAATAATTAGAGCAGCAAAAGATGAAATTTTTACACTACCTTATCATTTTCAGGTTCTTAGGCATATAATACTTTTGCTACAAATTTTGAAAAGTTTTGAAAATTCAAAGAGAAAAGACACAATATTGTTCAGTATATAAATAAATAATTTTGATTTTAATTACTTACCAGTAGAGGGCTTCCTATAAATATATAAATCAAAATTCAAAATCTTCTATTACTAGGTTCTCTTACAGAAGGTCTTCTGAAAATCTTTAAAGTTCCTTATAATTGTTTGAATGTTAACATTTTCCTAAATTGAAAATGTATTTCCAATAATACTTACCTCCACTGACATGGCTTCAACTTTGTCCATCTAAGCACTGATCTGATTATTTCTCACTTGCTCAAGTTTTTTATACCCCACTCAATTGCCCTTGGCAATATTTGTCTCATGATACTCTCTACCTATGTCAATACGCTCTCTATCTTGGTACTGTATATAAGAACCTCATTCAGATAATTTTATCACTTTTATCGAGACTGATACCAACCCAGACTCTAATACCGGCTCTTAGTGGGGACGAAGGGCAGGAGAGTGTCAGAGGAAGTAAGTATTATTGGAAATACCTTTTCAGTTTAGAAAAATGTTAACTTCCAAAACATACTTATCTCAGTACGTAAAACAGACAGTTCTTGTGCAAAATGTTTTATATGAAATTAATCAAACGAGACATCAATGTTTTTTTACTTGCACAATAATTTATTTGTAAACTTTAAAACTCTAAGTTAAATTGGACAGAGAAGTAGGAACTTAAAGTTTAGAATAAAAGAACATGAAAATGAGGTGGATAAATTAAAAACGGGTGAATTGGCTTTGGCGGAACATGTGGCGAATCCTACATGTTATTGACTGGGATAATGTAAAAATACTTAAACAATGTAATGGAAAAATAATGAACTAAACATAAGAGAATTCTTAGAAACTGTTAAAAACAAAATGAATATAAATAGAGATTTAGGCCCAGGATCCATTAAAGTAAATTTTGGGAAATCATTGTTGTAAATGGTGCCACTGTAAAAACTTGCTAATACATACATAGGCTTATAAGAAACTTCATGTGTACTTCGTGGTTTATTCTCCTGAAGATGGTGGAATTATTTCCACTGAAACATTTAAAGTTGTATTTTTAACTTATATTTTTTAAACTTTACAAAAATTTATTGTGCAAGTAAAAAATGTTGATGTCTCATTTATTAATTTTATTTAAAACATACTTTTCTCCATTGCCACTTATAGCTAGAATCCCACATTGAGAAGGTGGAGGGGCTGGTGAGGGCCATTATCCATACAGAAAGCATCTGCATAGATCGAGAGTGTACAAAGATAACACTGGTACCCGAGTGGAGAAACCACACTACATCCAGAACAGGTATGCTCTTCACCCTGAACTTAGTTCCTGTATCATAGGTGGAATAGTATATGAGTAATCATCACTATAGGCCAGCCCCAACCAGATAGCCAAGGTTCCATAACTCAGAATGGAATTAAGGGGTCTTGATCCTTATATCCCACATTGGTGGTTAGGGCAATTGGATGGCAATGTTAGATATAAATATACTTTTGACTAGATACCAACCTGTAGCCATAGAGTGATGTGTTGCAAACACCAGAATCATGACGAGAAAGTAAGCAACACCGAAGTGGGCAAACTACCTCCTCCACCTGAAGAAGCCCAAAAAGCAACACCCCAGGCTTAGAATGATGGCATCATGTATGCCTTACTGAAACCAGACGAAACAGAACTCATCTGGTCTGGAATTATGAACAATGGGCAAAGAGCCTTCTACTTGCCCCTGGAATTATGGAGAGGATGTGGAACACTGTGCTCAACCAAGGACCCAAGATGGGACCATTCCGCATTTGGAAATACGAGGAGATAGTGAACCTTCTTCCATGAATAATATACTAAGCTGATATTAATCAAAAAAGTAGGGTCATGAACACCTCAACCAGACAGCTGAGCATCAAATCTGAACCAGTATTACGAGTAGGCTCCTGCATAGGCTGGTGCCACTCCTACTGACATCTGGGAAAAACATCCAGTGACTGGGTAGGAGGGCCCCCCAATTTTGCCCTCTTTTCCAAAAGTAGAGGAAATCACTCAAACACTCTGGAGGAAAAGCCTCTGTCCACCACCCCAGTGACTGGAAACTGGGTGTGGTAAGGACTTCCTAGCTCCACTAGTTGAATCTGGGGAGGTAATGCACATTGAAGAGTCCTGAGGAAAAGTGCTCTGGAAACAGTGCAATAGGTGAACCAGATTTCCTAAATTTTTAAAAGCAAACTGACCCCGATTTATTCAATCTAATGATTGGCAGGGATGGGCAGGATCCCCTTTAGCTTTACTCATGATAGTCCATGAGTGGTGGTCCAGCATAAAATGGTAATACCATCTAGTGAGCTCCAAAATGTTCTTATGAAACACCTCTATTCTTCAGAGCCTGTTGCAACTGGTAGTAAGTATAGTTAAATTGGTTACTAGCGTGGAATTGGACTGATAAAAGCACATCTGTATGGGCAACACTTGCCACAGAGTGAGATCTAGTGAAAAAAGGAGGTAAGAGACCCTGGAAAATAAAGAGAAAGGATGAGGAAAAAAAAAACACCTCCTTATAATCTAGCAGATGTGGTCAAAATGGACACAGGTGATGAAGAAACTGCCAGATCGTGTAAATAATATGAGACAAAAGTATTGGGAGACGGCCGCATATCAGCCGACATGATGTCCTCCAGCGGGCAATTCAATTTGACAGCTAAAGTCATAGAAATGTGATGAATCTGATGAGATGTGACTTGCAGAAGTTTTATCATATGTAAAGAAAATCCAGAATAAGCAATGTGGATCATTGCAAAGCCACTTCATCAAAGTAATCAGGGATAAATCTCAGGAAACTGAAGGATCCCAGTGAATAAAGAGTCAATTTCTAGCACCTCAAAAGGAGTTATTGCGAGCCACATAACAGCTTAGGGCTTTGATAGGACATAACAAACAATCTAGGTCCAATCAGTCATACAGGTGAGAAATAGGTAGCAAATGAATTGGTGAGAAGGATTTATCCCCTTCCTTTGCTGCTAGAGTCTTAGGAAGAAAGGACCTATCAAAGTATAGCAGGACATAAGTAGAGTGATAAAGAGTCCTGTGCACATGTAATGCAAACAATTTCCAACCTACAACTTCCACATACCAGCAACAACAAAAATATACTTTAAGGGAAAGGTGATACATGGTACATGAGGCTAAAGGCTTGAACGGATGTCGAGACAAAGCATGTAATACTACTTTAGTATTTCAGTTGGGTAATTGAAAAGGTTGTGTGGAAAGAAGGACTAAACGATTTGAGAAGGCCAGATAGCACTGGGGATTCAAATACTTCATTTAGAATATTGAAAAGTAATCGATAAAGTTGCCTTATATAAAGCAACAGTAGTTGAAGCTACAACTTTGTCAAAAAGCCAGGTCAAAAAACGAGATACAGTGGGCATATTTGGGTCAAGTGGATTCAATTTCCTCGTGAGACACCATTGGCAATAAGTGTGCTATTTCCATTGATAAATGGTCATTGTGAGTCTATGGATAGATTGAGACAAATATAAGGCAACTTTAGAAGTTCAACGCTGATGCTGTGCAAGGGACTGCATAACTTCAATACATGAAGTTTGAGCTTGGGAATTTCTGGGTGTAGAATGTTGGACAGGGATTGCCTCAACAGAGATGACCAATAAGGAAGTGGCAGAGGTGAAACTCTTAAAGATACTGTAGAAGAAGAAACCATGGTTGGGCCAGCCAATCTGGGGCTACCAACAGCACTTGATGAGTAGTGGATTGAATCATAGCCAGAACTCTGGGTAACAGACGAATTGTGGGAAAGGCATAGAGGTGCAGTCTCGTCCAATCTTGACTAAATGAATCTATTGCCAAAGCCCGAGGATGAGGTATCAGGGACCAAAACAACTGTAGTTGAGAGTTCCAGTGAGTGGTGAATGCACTGATCACCAGAGTCCTGAACTGAGAGCAAGTCCACCAGAAAACCTCGAGATAGAGCATCCAATCGGTTGGAAGAATTTGGTTGGGTCGAGATAGGTGATCTGCTCTTAAATTCATCACCCCTGAAACATGGCAAGCCAGGAGGCTGATATGATGGGAGTGAGCCCAGTAGAAAATATCCAAAGTTCAAAAATAAAGGTCCCGAGAATGCGTGCCCCCTTGACGGGAAATATAAGAGATCACTGTAAAAATGTTGGAATGAATCATGATGCTTTTTCCTTTCAATATATCAAGACTTTGAACCATTGCCTGTAGGATGGCAAGATGTTCTAAAATATTGATGTGGAAGAAAGGTTTGCTGACACTCTTACCAAAGTAGAAGTCAGCAAAAGACCCAATTCGTCCTCTACTTGACGTGTGGAATGCTGAAAGGTTTCCAACAAAATTTGGAGGGAAAGATAAATATCTCAGAACAGTAGTGGGGGTCAAACGAATCAGAGAAAATCTGTTCAAAATGATCACAGTCTGGAACCCCACATATCTAAAAGATGATCAAGTCTTTGGGAATCTAAATATATGTCCTCCTGGCAGTGGTAAGCCAAAGCATGCTGTTCAGACAAATGTGGGAGACAAGACTTAGCTATCCTGTCATATAATGGAGCAGTGCACCTCCCGCCATGAACAGCAATATCAGGTGAAGGAGTAAAATTATGTAGCCACCCTCAGACCTTTCAACCATCAAGGTAGGAGTAGATTCAAAGGCAACTGGAGAAAGCCCCAAAACCTCACAAACTTGACTGACTAACTAAAAAAATGGAGCAGGAGATGGCAGATCCAAATTAGCCTTGTGAGAAGCTGACCTAGTAAACAAAGTGATAAAATTATCTAAATGAAGTACTTATATACAATACCAAGATAGAGGGTGCATTGACTTAAGTGGAGAGTATCACGAGACAAATATCACCAAATGCAGTTGAGTGGGGTATAAAAACTGGAGCAAGTGAAGAAAAATCAGACCAATGCTTAGATGGGCAAAGTTGAAACCCTAGCAGTCAAGTAATAGCTATAAGTGGCAGCAGAGATAAGTATGTTTCGGAAGAATGACTTCTAGCAGTTGATGATAAGTTAAAACCCTCTCTGATTCGTAACTCCTATTATTATTTTTTTAGTTTCCTTAAAAGTGTGAAAGTAAGTAGCTACCAAATAAACTTAATCAAAGTTGAAAACGTATTAAAAGTTTAAATTCTATTTTAACTTTTAATTTTTGGTTATTTTCATTATTCTAAAGCCTTTAATTTTCTTCTTCACTTATGCTATTGAAAAAATAATTTATTTTAATGGCACCTACTTTTGTTGTGACTGTATAATTAATCACAGTGGCTTTAGTAAAGGTAGATGGAGGAAACTGGGGGTTAGTTAGCTTGGTGGTCAGATAAAGACGAAAACTTGGGTCATAATCCACTTCTTTGTCTCCAAGAACTATAAACTGTCTACCTTGTTGAACTTATCGTGAAGAGGGAAAGCCAAAAGAAATGAAAGGTTAAAGTATATTTGGTAAACTTGTCCTTGATGAGTAATTAGGAGAGTCAAACACTGGAGTAAAAAGAATAAAGCTGATGGTAGGATAACAATAACTTAAACTGTTAATGTTTGTGAGAGTAAAATATTATGTTGATCTGAAATAATTCAAAAACAAGAAGTCTTTACAAACACGTGGATCACTACCTTAGTTCAAGAGTGATATCTATATTACAGTTATTTATCATGTAACTTATCATCCTGCTTTAAACAAACTGAAATTTATCTAAACGTTATCAAGTTTTCAATTTTTATTTTAAATCTTTAATACAGTTGTCTCAGGTCAAGCTAGAGTAAGAACTATATGTATTATTTATCATCAATATTACTTTTATTTAAGGTAAGCATATAAGTATAAAAAGTGGTGTTTATTGACATAATCATTTTACAGTTTTGAACAGATTATATCTAAAAAAAATTGTACTTTCTTTTAATGTGAGGACCTATAACACTTAATAACTTTTTTTACACAGATATTTTTTAAAAATTGAAATATATCTTGCCTCATTATTTATTCATAATTTTTTGACTATTTCATTAATTAATCAGTAAACAGGTAACATAAAATGTCACACGTAACTACTATAGTAATGTAAATAGCATAAGTTGGTTCTTGCGTACCTCAATCTTGATAAAATGGGGAAGGTTAAGGATACATTTGACTTCAAAAGAGGAATTATTGTTCAGACCCAATCAGATGCAGCCTTAAAAGCAATAGAACTGACTGAAAAACAAAGGCAACCGTTTCACGAGTGTATACAGCCTGGTGGCAATCTTGGCAAAAATGTGCAAGAAGTGAAAAATTGAAGATAGAAACTGCTCTGAGACAGAGATAGACTGAGATTAGCAAGGATTTGGAAGAACAATAAACATTCAACGGTACAACAAATGATGGATCACATTACTCATGAAGTAGGACCATCCATAACAACATGAAAAATGTGCAGGGAGCTACAAAAAATTAACTCTGATAACCATGGCCCTGTCCACAAGCTTCTGGTCTCAGCTACAAAAGAAAGGTACAGTGGAACAAAGGTCATTAGGATTAACCTGTTCATGAATTTTGGTACAAACTACTCTGTACAGTCGGGAAATTCAAAGTTTGCCATTAGTCCCATGAAAATTTGGAACCCTTGTATGTTGCTTTCACTACGCAAGCTATTGGAGGTGGAGTGATAACGTAGATTACATTTCTATGGTACACACCTGATCCCTTGATCTCTCTGGCTAGTTGCATTGTTGTGAATATTTTAGCATTGTCTTATATTTCATTTCTATTTTCAAGGTTATGAGTACTTTAAATTTGACACATGCCACCATATACCATTATATATCCTTATTCACGACTGGTTGGAAGAGCAAGAGGAGGAGTTCTATCATCTTTCTTGGATAACAAAATCCCCAGATCTCAAACCAACTTAAAATACATGATATGTATTGATGCATGCTATAAGAGCATGAATTCCTTTAGTTTCAACCCTGAAAAGGCTCAGAGAGAGAATGCTGCTAAATGAAAATCAAACATAATGTACTCCAAACATTAATGGTGGTTTCCAATTTTTGGCCAGCAAGTGTATACCTATTGAATAAATTATAATTATATAAGCCTTTTGAAAGAACCAACTAAATTTATTTGTTTATTTATTTTGATGCTGTTTTCTTCATATCAAATTAAATTAAGATAAATTTCAAAGATCTTACTTTTGATGTTTTTCTCTAATACGTTATCCACAACAGGATCAATATAATCATCTACATCTTGGAATAAAACAGGAAAACCATATTTAATAGCTAGTTCCAGATGCTTGAGGAAGTCGGGATCAGTAAAGTTCAAAATCTGTAAGGCATACGATTGCAAATCACATTAATATTTTGATTACTTCAAGAAAAAATTTAATGATGTACAATTTTAACTAAATATAAATTTCATATGCATAATATACACTCCACAACTATACGAAGCATAGTCTTATTCTTTCGATATGCCCTTTTCCAGGGTTAATGATAAGAAGTAGAATTCCCCAAAACTAGCATAATTCAATGACAAGTGGCAAATTAAATGACATATTTGGCTACACATTTTTTAGTATCTTAAAACAACTTATTGCCTGAATAATTCATAAGAATAAGTTAGGAGCATCAATGCTGCATATTCATGAAATTTCTATATAAATATAGGATCACTGTGAGGGCAAATGACATCTCAAAACACTATACAAAAATATTACTTCTTACATCAACGTACTTTAAGGTTATTTGGTTCTTCTCTGCATTTGATCCAGGTCAAGGCTTGTTGCTGTGGGTCAATACACATAGGAAAACGGCTTGAATGGGTGGTCAAAATGCCATTTTGAACAGAAAGCTCATCAGGAGGTAATCCTTCAGAAGTCCATCTGTCAAAGAAGCAAACACCCATGAAAAATCATGTCTAGTATGTTCATATATTCAGTCTTACGTTCTTCTTCTTACACTTGTGAATATATAAACGAATTTTTATTTACAGAACAAAATTCACATAACGAGAACCTGGATAAACCTCCTAATATTATATATCTATATATACACTAACTACTGATGTACCCATTCAATGCTTGGAGAAGACACAGGGGACCCTGGAGAGCAACATAGTGGGGACAGATATGAACTCTGACACTAAGGGTGCTTTGAAGCTTGCTAGAGGTCAAGAGGATATCAGAGAAACACATAAGAGCCCCAGAGGTGTGCCAATTCCCCTTTATCACTCCCAGGGAGATCCAAGAGAAACTGCCATGTTTGGCTGATATCAGTTAAAAATCAAATGCATACCCACAGACAGACAGTGGCTCCTGAGATATAACTTGAGGAATCTGACTGAATGCTACCTCCTGTGACAGTATCTGAGGGACCCTAAGGGTGCATGCCAAGTTTGGATGAGATTGCTTAAAAAAAGTATAGATGGACACACATGACATTTCTGCTTTATACATACATATGTATATATATATTATGTTGTCAAGAAATCAATAGTTGCATTTTGAAACACTTTC